CAATATTCGTAATTTACAATGCCAGGTTTATTAGATGGCTACATTAGGATTAGAAACTAAAGAAAACGGTGTAATTGACAACTTAACCCTAAAAATGTCCTTTGTTGGTATAAATGAACTGAAAACAGAACAGTTGTTTATCAATGCTTGTTACAACATGGTTGTAATTCCTGAACGCTTTGAAATACAGACCTACGGTTGGTCTCTTCTTAAAGAAGATGCATAGCAGATTATTGCTGAAGTGAAAGCATTTCAAAAAAAGAAAGTATAAAAAAGTTCTAGAAGTTTGTTTGTGCAGAAACGATAATACAGTAGTATTTTAAATTGTATATAAAATAAATACTTTATAAAATATGTTGCACTTCAAATTGCTATAAATCTAAGCCATGTGTCTAACCAAGTTATGTTCCAAATTTGAAGTTGATATCACCAAAATTGTGGTTCCTGTGAGATTTTGTTTGGGCACTATACCAAAAATAACCACTGGGTGACACCCAAACTCTATTGAATTCTTTTGATGCGGTTTTCTGTCACAAATCAATAATTTTGTCGCAATATCACTTCTATTACAAAACAGTCACCAAATAGTGTAACTATACATATACAGTGGGTACGGAAAGTATTCAGACCCCCTTAAATTTTTCACTCTTTGTTATATTGCAGCACTAAAAGGGCGATGTATCCCCCGAGATACAAACATTTAGAGACAGATTACAAAAAATGTAAGCATTTAATTCATAAAATTTCAATGCAAACCTAATAAGCTAATGCTGAACAACAGCTTTTTAAACAGGTGAGTCCCTCCAACGTGTGTAAATATGTGAACTAGATCAACTTTTATTGGAGGGTGAGTAGATGCTGCCCGTGAGCTAAACAAAGAATGTGTGAACAAAGTCAAAATATCTAAATATTCATAACAAACACCCTTTCAACATGAAACCAAGAAATGAGACCTACACTTTCCCTGCCTCGCCCCACAGCCTCTCAAATGTTTGTATCCCACAGGATAGACGTCGCCAGTTTTAGGGTTAATATGGAATGAACGAGAGTAAAGAATGAAATCAGTCTGTCTCTGTAGGTGTGAAGCAGCTTCCTGATGCGGCGGGTCTGAGCGACGGCTTTCACTTCACTCTTCTGGGCGCGTGTGTGTTGGTGGCGTTCGTGTTGGGCGCCGTCGTGTCAGGCTTGCTGGTGTCCTGTTACTGCGGTCAGAGATCCAACCAATCACAGGAGCCCAAGCACGCGCTCTCGCTCAACAGCCTCACCAAACTCAACTGCCTGATAGACACCAAACCAGACAAGAACGACCTCACATCCTCTCAAATCTACAGCTCCGAGCCGCCCGTTAAGCCACACGCGACTGAGGACGAGGAGTTGGTTTCCAACCTGCCCACCCCGGATTTGACGCCCGAACTGCCAATCAAGAACTTAAACAGCCAATGGGAGAGAAGCCACACCCACAACTCCACCCTGCAGGTGTTTCCCACCAATCAGACGCTTCCCATCAAGCACACGCCCTCAGAGGGCCACGACGACGATGTATTTAAACACACACAGAATCCAGACGTCGCCATTATGACTTCATCCTTATTGCCAGGCGACTCCGGGTCGTTGCACATGCTAACATCATATTACAGCTGCCTAAAACAGACGGCCGAAACCTCAGCGTTTCAGCAGATTCCACGACACGTGCTTATAAAGATGGGCACCGGCGTCACGACCGCCCGCCAGCACAGTTTCAACCAGAAGTCAGCGCACGCGGGAAACATCTACGAGATACACAGGCCGTTAATCGCGAGCGGCTCGGG